ACCGAACGGCTTATAGTATCACCACCACCATGTTGAGTTAATTCATCCTTTTTTCGCTTACCAAGATCTTGCGCATGAATGGATTGCTTTTGTCCACAGATTGTCTTTTCATCATTCACAACTCGAGAAGTTAAACCTTCTTCATTTACATTAAGGCTCTCTGAAATTGAATTTTTGCTACGACTACGTAAATTATAAACGTGTTCTATCTTGAGCTCTGTCTTTTCTACAGGTAATAGTTGCCTTTGTGGTAGATCATCACAAACGACACTACCACGGATACTTAAATTACTGTCCGAAACTGACGTCTCATTACACACCATCGTTACAGTTCAATTGGAGGAGATTGCGAACTGCAGCTCGATCCTGCTAAGTCCGTATTTGATATTGCATCGTTTCCAGATGCTTCTGTGTTCCGGCTGTGGTATGACGGAGATTAATCACAAAAAGAAATTAGAGAAAAAAGTTTTTATGAATATTAATCTAATTTATAATTTTCATAAAAATTAATTACCTTTCTTCCACGTTTGATTTGCCAAATAATTTCTTAAATAACCACATAATTATTTTGATTGAAAAATATAGTATATATCAGTCAAATTCTTATGAAAATATTAAGAAATTTTTATCGAAAATTTTTTATTAAGTTGATTTGACTGTTCTTTTTTGTCATAAAATACAAATATATTTGAAGTGTCATTATTATTTATATATAACTTAAAAATAAAAACAAGAGTACTGGATTAAAATCTGATTATAAAACTTGTTATCACAGATTGTAAACCTGGACTTTCTGGACTTTGTGTTCTACTCTTATTCTAGAACGTGTTATTTCCATACGAATATTTCTTATGATCTATTTATTTATGTAGTGGACACATTGAAACCTTTCATTAAGTAAAAAACCTACTATTACTTATCTGTTATGAAGTCAGGTAATTTGCGAATAAAATTATTTAAAGTTGTCGGACCAATGTTTAAACAGCAAATACTTGATCTGTCTGCGATGAAATATTAATATATGTGGGAAAAATAAAAGTGAGATAAATAAATATAGGAATGACAGGTAAATACGAAATAAACTGAAATCAAATTATTTCAATTACGAGTACTATCAGAGGACGTAGTTATTATTGATTCTCTTATATTATTATTAAAAGGGTTTCTCCCCTTGTGAAAACCCAATCAATAAGCAAATGTTACTACGACCTTATAAAAACACCATAAGTCCTAGAATGCAGCAGATAAGATAATATAAAAAATTTTACTAGAAAAAAACTCTTTATTGGTTGCTTCAAGTGCAGCGGCTACTCTTAAAGTCAGCAGATGCCCTTAAAATTATTTAAATCATGCCATCAACGGATTTGTATGCCGAAAAGTAGCGCAGACCAATAAAGTAGGGTTCCAACATTCAAAGGTCTAAATTTTTAAAAAACGGACTTTGGACAAGTCAATCAACAGACATGGATTATAAATACTAAACAGCAACAAGAAGTAAATACAGATGGTTGGACAAAGGTCTGGTATCAAAACGCTGAAGGTTTCACTTTCATGGATGTGATCATGGATGGCTAAAAAATTGAAAACAGATCTAATGCTGCATTAAACTGCTAATAATTATATATCACGTAGTCATATTGGCAATCACATTATTGAAGCATCTTCTATACAAAAGAAATATGTAGTCGTTTCAAAAGAAAAAACGACTATAATTGTTTATAGCTCGATTTTTGAATAGTAGTGAAATATAATAACAAAATGTCTTATTTAATACCTAAGCAGAATTGTTTTTGGTTTTTAAGTCAGTATAATTGTTGGACTACAAGTGGCAGTCTCAAGACTTTGAACCTATAAAATTAGAAGCTAAATCCGCACAAAGTAGTGAAAACTTTTATTGTTCAAATTTAAAGTGTAAAAATTATATACAATAAAAATTTTATACTGACAATCGGACTATATCGGATTATATTACCAACTACAGCGCACAACGCATTTTTATAAAATGTATTTAAATAGAAACAATCCATTGATTCACTGAAACCGAAAGGAAGTTCCATGTGTTCTGGGCTTCTGAGCGCATTGATTTTTTACAAATCGAGATAGATAACGAAATTGATAAAATATGCACATAATCACCACTGAGGATCCAGACTGATATCAAAATTGTCATCAACCGCGTATACAACGATTTTATGATAAAAACAGAAATAACTTTTGGGAAAGACAACATCTGTAAGGTAAGAAGAGCCTGCTACAATTCTTCCAAGAGATTTCTTATAAATTTTGTAGTTCGTTATTATCGTAACAGTTCGTAATAGTAATGATTTAAAGTAATTATTGTGACACTGATGGATCAGTGACTATTAAACCCGCGAAAAAACATTTTCTGATTGGGAGCAGAACCAGGAATACTTAGTTGTAGTCACCTTATTGGTGATTTGCGATCACACCCTATTAATTGCACTAAGTGGTATCGCTAAGGACTTTAATACCAAAGAGTCCAATATATTTTCCAGCTTGTAGGGTTTCTAAGAAAAGTTTATTCAAAAACACCTCTAATTGTAAACATTTCAAATGAACAAAAATTTTCAGTATTTAAAATATTGATAAATTTGATGCCCTATTTATTATTAAATTATATAAATCTTGGAAATTGTCGTTACTGTAAATTATGATAAAGAATTTTCCCAAATAGATTCTTTTCAGCAATCTGTGTTATTGTTCACAAAGAAAATAGACTTAAAGGTCTCTTACTTTTATTTCCTTTTCCCCCCTCAGTGTTTGGGAAAAATATTATTTTTCTGTAAATTGAATGAATTTTGTATATTTAAATAAGCAAGCTAAATAGAAGTCAAAATTCGAATTAAATTTAACTTCAATTGAAAAATATTTAAAAACTATCAATCAGTCTGATTGTGTGTTAGAAAATCAGGTCCTTTGCTAGAGGTATATCGTACCAACCAATTTATTTTTAATAGAAAGCAAGAAACAACTTTTACTACAAACAGAGTCCGAGTAGTTTAGTCCATTGCCAAAGCTTAATAATGGATCGCCAGAAATTAAAACAAGTGGTGTCTTCAAATAGTGAAGCTGATGCTGCGACTGGAAAAGCACTTAGATGCAAATCTATTACTGTTAGACGCTCCATTATTGTTACACGCTCTGTCACGGCACGGATGTTAAGTGGAAAATGTGGTAAGGGTAAGGTTAATACAGATGCCGTAAGAGCCAGAAAGACTCAAGCGAAAAAAGACACTAAAAAGAAAGTAAAAGTTATTAAGAAGGAACGTGAAAACGTTAAGTGTATTAGGACCGAAATGCAGGATGAAAAAGCTAAGCCCAAGAAGAAGGTCAACAAGAAGGTCAAGAAACAGCGCGTAAGTCCACCTACACCCACCCAGACGAAACGGAAGGAAATTTGTAAAAAGAAAAAGAATGCAAAATCTAGGAAGAGGAACGAAAAGCTACTACTAGAAAATGTCAATCAACTTCCTCGCTTTAGAAAAAGGAAATATACTGAAGAAGAAAATCACTCAGTGGTTCCTATTAAACGGAAGAGGAAATAAAGTTATGTATTTTTATATTTTTCTAATTTCATAAACTTTGTACAATATTTTTTATGCTCAAAATTTAAAGTTCACAAATTTTAAGTTCCAATTTGAAATTGCAGAATTTGAAGTTCAAAATTTGAAGTTCAAAATTTGAAGTAAAAAATTTGAAGTAAAAAATCTGAAGTAAAAAATTTGAAGTTAAAAATTGCAAGTTAAAAATTGTAAGGTTAAAAATAGGTGTGTCCGTCTTTAGTATATAAGATTGCTATAAGATTGAAATGGAAATGCCTAAAATTTTAAATAAATCAAAGTAAATATTCCACTGAATTGCAAATCATCATTGTCTTTCTTATTAAGTTTTTATCCGAGGTAACTAAGTTTTGACTGTACGACGAAATATACGACGAAAATTAATGAATTATCCAAATTAACACCAATTTGTGAGGTGGAGTGAGGTCGAGAGGTAATAACGTAATAACAGTAAACATATATATTAAATTATTTGCAGAGCAAATTTAATAATTAGTTCATTAAAACTGCTTCATAAAAGTAATTTTATTCGTAAAATCCTTCTGATATATGTTTTCGTCATCAATTTTGCACAAAAATTTTGGTAGTGTTTTTAAGATATTGAACTCAGAAGAACTCAGAAGAACTCAGAACCTCATGAATATAAAGGAAAAACATTAAAAAAATGTTAAGCTAACTTAATTATAAGTTCCTGCTGTTACGACTTACTATAGACCGTTTAATATAAAATCCTTTAAATATGGTAAAGAAAAATAATAACATCAGAAACTATTAATACAATAAATGTTATTTTTTTAATATTCGAAGCAGAAAAAAAATATAGCTGCCAGTAAAAAATATCTGTTGAGCAACTGAAACATTTGTAATTGAAACCAGTAGTTGTGCGCACTACTACTTATTAACGATGTCACCAACAGATAAGATCTCTTTCTGGCAGACGTGACTTGCTTGACGAGGCTTTTGTTGTTAGAATAAGTACGTGAACGAAACCTAAGTTAAGAATTAACGGAATCAATTGGATCCGAAAGTAAAAGACCAAGAGATCTATTGAGCTACTTGCATTCATGTGTGTAGATTATTTCTCCAAGCCGAATTTCAATGAATTGTTGTTTTGTAGTACGAGTATTTGCTACCTCTTATGTGTCTATCTTATATCTGCTACCAATATTATATCTACGACCACAAACTCAAATTGAGTTTACTTTCGTCTTCTATCTGGAAATTGAAAATCTGTCTAAACTTCAGTACTGCAGAAATAGTGTGGATAGTTGATTAACTTTCTCCCATACTCTCCGTATCATTGATTAATTGGAACTAAAAGTTATACAGTACTGGGATATGTTGTTGTTTCAATGAGTATCTAAGAAACTATCAGTTTAAATCGAACGTTTTAATTCAAAGAATTTATTCAGAGATATATACATGATGTCAGAATATATATGCAAAATGATTATTTTTAATAGAATTTGTTAATCACTTTTAACACATAAATTTTTTTTTTTAAATATGTCTTACTATTTGAATATAATAAATACGAAAATAAATATTTATTAAGGTGGACTTTTTCTTTAGTTATATTTCAAGTTTTACTCTTCTTATTCAGCATCCCTTGTGTCCATATTGGAAGCATCATTTCCATCCTCGTCCTCAGTACGTATCCTTTTAGCTGTTGCAGCCTCATCAGTGCTACACCTTTTACGTTTTGCAATATTGAGTTTCTTCTCAAGTTTTGTTTCATTTATTACAACCGAACGGCTTATAGTATCACCACCACCATGTTGAGTTAATTCATCCTTCTTTCGCTTACCAAGATCTTGCGCATGAATGGATTGCTTTTGTCCACAGATTGTCTTTTCATCATTCACAACTTGAGAAGTTAAACCTTCTTCATTTACATTAAGGCTCTCTGAAATTGAATTTTTGCTACGACTACGTAAATTATAAACGTGTTCTATCTTGAGCTCTGTCTTTTCTACAGGTAATAGTTGCCTTTGTGGTAGATCATCACAAACGACACTACCGCGGA